GACCCTAATACACTGCATAAATACAATACAAACTCACAATGCACAAACCATAACTCACAATGCACAAACGCCAGAAGATAAACTAGATAACTGGGAGCTCCTAAAAATTAAACACTTACGCTTATCAAAAGACCTCACCAAAAGAGCAAAAAGAGAACCTACAGACTGGGAAAAAAATTTTGGCTATGACATATCCGACAAGGGTCTAATCTCTAAAATCTATAGAATACTTCACACCTCAAGAACAGAAAGACAAATAATCCAATCAAAAAATGAGCAAAGGATATGAACAGACATTTCACCAAAGAAGACATTCAGGTGGCCAACAGACACGTGAGGAAATGCTTGCGATCATTAACCATTAGAGAAATGCAAATCAAAACTACAATGAGATACCATCTCACCCTGATACTACCAGCACTAATCAAAAACCAAACAAACAAACAGAAAATAACAAATGTTGGAGAGGTTGCAGGGCATTTGGAGCTCTTATGCCACTGCTGGTGGGAACGTAAAATGGGACAACCACTATGGAAAACGATATGGTGCCTCCTTAAAAAGTTAGAAATAGAAATACCATATGATCTAGCAATCCTACTCCTAGGAATATATCCTAGAGAAGTAAGAGCCATCACACAAATAGATATATGCATACTTATGTTCACTGCAACATTATGCACAATAGCAAAAAGATGGAAACAACCTAGGTGCCCATTAACAGACGAATGGATAAACATATTATGGTACATACACACAATGAAATACTACACAACAATAAAGAACAATGATGAATTCAGGAAACATCTCCCAATATGGATGACTCTGGAGAGCATTATATAAAGTAAGTCAATCACAAAAGGACAAATACTGTAAGAGATTACACAATTATAAAAACCAAAGAAAAGATTTACACACAGAAAAAAACAATCTTTGGTGGTTATGAGGGAAAGAGGGGTGAGGAGAGGAAAATACTAATTAGATAGTAGACAAGTGTTAACTTTGGTAAAGGGAAAGACCATACACAATATTGGGGAAATCAGCACAACCTGACCAAGGCAAAGTCATAGAAGTTTCCGAGACACATCCAAACACCTCACATGACAGAGTTACTAGGGCTGAGGGGTGGGGACCATGGTCTCAGGAGACATCTAGGTCAACTGGCATAATACAGTTCATAAAGAAAATGTTCCACATCCTACTTTGGTGAGTAGCGTCTGGGGTCTTAAAAGTTTGCAAGCAGTTATTTAAAATACATCTATTAGTCCCATCACATTCAGAGCAAATGAGAATGAAGAAAACCAAAGACAGAAGGAAAATATTAGTCCAAAGGATGAATGGACCACATGAACCACAGCCGCCACCAGCCTGAGCCCAGAAGAACTAGATGGTGCCCAGCTACCACCAATGACTGCTCTGACAGGGATCACAACAGAGGCTTCCAAACAGAGTGGGAGAAAGAATGCAGAACAAAATTCAAATTCACAAAAGATGACCAGACTTACTGGTCTGACAGAGACTGGAGGAACCCCTGAGACTATAGCCCTCGGGCACCCTGCTAACTCAGAACTGAAGCCACTCCTGAAGTCTACCTTTCAGCCAAAGATTAGACAGGCCTAGAAAACAAACAATAACACATATTAGGTACGTGTTTCTTGGTTCAATCAAGTACATGAGACCAAACGGGCAACACCTGTCCAAAAGTAAAGATGAGAAAGCAGGAAGGGACAGGAAAACTCAATGAATGGACACAGAGAATCCAGAGTGTAAAGGGAAAGGGGGAGAGTGCTGACACATTGTGGGGATTGCAACCAATGTCACAAAACAATTTTTGTATAAATTTTTGAACGAGAAACTAATTTGCGCTACAAACTGTCACCTAAAACACAAATTAAGAAAAAAAAAAAAAAAGTATCCATGTTAAACTTACTTAAGTTGATAACTGTACTGTGGTTTTATATGAGAATTTCCCTATACTTAGTCAAACCACATTCAAGGTATTTTAAGATAGGGTCATGATGGATATAATTGACTCTTAAAAGGCGGGGGGCAGGGGTAAGGTTCAGGAGCACAAGCAAATGGAATAAAATGCTAACAACAGGTGAATTTGGGTAAAGATTCTTTGTACTACTGTTTTCTTTTTGTAACTTTTACGAGTTATCTCCAAATAAAAAGTTGCTTTTTAAAAAGAAAAAAGCCATTTATTAATAAGTAATCATCAATAATAATCCAAACAAGCTTAGAAATAAATCTGAATTTTTATTTTGACAGTTGTTTCTCACAAGTCATTTTAATTATATAAATATAATCCCAAGGTATTATTTCTAACTACCAAAAAAAAAAAAAAATTACACCTACGGCTAGGTTTATAATACAGCTAAATAAGTACCTTCCAAGACTTAAAGCTTAACACAATTGTCTTTAACACAAAACTCCACTTCAATAACTTCTCATAATGTGAGAATTAATTGAGAAACTAGATTTACAGGAAGGTTAATAAAAGTTCTTCATCCACATAAAAGATTAATCTCCCCTGAAAGGTGAACACAATAATGAATCCTAATAATGACTCAGGTTAGAAGCACTTAAAAATATAAATAAAAGGTCTAATAAAATGGTGTTCCAGTAGATATAATTCTTAAAAATAATAATGATAAAGAACCGCATGCAAAAGGCAAAACTTTAAATTTACAGAAAGATACAGGAGGAAATTTTTGTGACCCGAGAGAAGGAAGAATTTATTCCCTTAACAAGACACAAAAGACACAAATTATAAGGGAAAAGAATGATAAATTTGACTACACTTAACATTACAATTTCCGTAAAATAAAAAAAATACCACAATTAAAGTTAAAAGACAAACCACAGACTGGGAGAAGATATTCTGCATCCAGAATAAAGCACTCCAACAAGACTATAAGACAGCATTCCAATAGAAAAATGGGCCAAGACTATGAACAGGCAACTCACAAAAGAGAAAGACAGGCTCTAAGGTACGCTGGTGGGAAGGCAAGTGGTACAATCATCAAGGAGAGCAATCATGCAAGATCTAGTAAAGCTCTGTCACCACAGGCAGTAAAGGAGTGAAAAGAAGCTGGGACCCACCAGAAGTGGACTGCCCCACTCCTAGGGAGACTCCCCTCTGTCCGAGAGTACTCGCTGATGAGCTCCCTAGTTGGGGAGATGGGAAGCTAAGCTACCCAAGGGGGAGCTTCCCTGCCAACCAGGTCCTTTAGCTAATAAAGTCACTTACTGGGAGCATCAAGTCTACGAGCAGCTCCTAGATTCTAACAGGATGATTCTAGGCACCAGTGCTTAGAATATTATAAACCTATGGTGATTACCATAATAGTGTAGAACTAGCCAGAAAACCACCTTCCAACCCCTGCAGCCCCAGGACAATACTTTCTAACTACATCTTGGCACTGATGCTAGGTCAAAGCTCTACATAAAACTCAAGATACTGGCTCTACTGGTGTCTCTCTAAACAGTGTATATAAGATATGGCACTACAACAACACGAAGACATTCTTTTTAAAATTCTTCTCAACAGTAGCCTATCCTCTACTAAACTGCAGCAGAAGGCTAGCGTCTCAAAATCAGGGGCAGACTAACATGTTCCAAAATGCACAAAGCATTACATATTTTAAACACAATGAAATATGTTAAAGTTACAACTACTTAATTTAGTATGAGGAAAATGAAGAAATGAGACAGTCACAGTCTGCTTTAAACTGCATGAGATCCCCAAACAGCTTTCCTTGTTGGCATTTTTACACTATTAAAAAGAAAAGGAAAATAAAAAAATCTGTGACAACCAAAAGATCCCCTGGAGTAAGTGAGCAATCAAGGGGTGCACAAAGAGATTAAAGGGTTTGCTCTGGTCACACTGCATATACGACTTAAACTTATCTTTGTTGAATTTATAATTAGAAATGACAGGAAGACCACTTGAAGCACACCTGAACATGTCCACTTCGCCAAAAGTTGAAAAGAAAGAGAGTGGTTAGAAGACATTTAAAAGCAAGTCTCGAGAGAAGGCAAGTACAGGCAGGAACACTTCTCTTGAGTCCTTAGAAAATTAACTCAGGAAAAAAGCTAACCGATTACATCAGAAGGCATATTTCTTTTTCTTGGACAAAAAGGTCTAACGATTTCCTCTACTCCTCACACTATCAATAGTTTAATATAACACAATGCAATCTAAACACAACACAGCCTAAATAATTCTTTTCAGTCTGATGGATTTCAGATCCTGCAACTTCAGGCAATAGGTGCACATCTGCCAGTAAAAACACTGAAAAGTCAAATGCAAACTCATATTCTCTAGAACTATTCAGCAGAAAATGTCTACAAGCAGACTCCCTTTAAAACGTCTCTTTCCAGTGTCAAAATAATCCAGAAACTGCCTACCACCCATTCTGAAAGGGTCAACTTACAGATACCATAAACTGTCTATACTGTAAACTTACAGATTACATAACTGTCTAAAACGTCAAGGTTTACAATCAACGCAAAGCCAAGTCCTCCTACTGGCTTTTACATCAATAACCATTTTATAAATTCAAAACATCTAAGTTTCTAATCTGTGGGTCAACGTGACCAGATGAGAAGTCAGGCCTCTGGGAGAATGGGGGAAGCTAACTTTACACTCTTGCATCACATCTGTGGAGTAAGCAGAAATCAGATGAGCTTTCTGAATAATCATAAAAATATTGCTGTAACCTTCAGCAAACCATATCTTTACTTTGGGCCTCAAATACCAGTTTGCTAACTAAGGTATCAGGAGAAAGCGTAAAGAAAATAGTATGGAGGGTGCACTCTGAAAGCAGAGAGAAAAGGCAGTAAGGGGAATCCAAACAGAAAAACGAAGGCTGGGAATGCAGAATAACTTAGTACCAACTTTAAACCTCCAAAGAGATGTTATGATGAGTTTCCTATGATTGCTTCAAAGCTTACAACAAAATGAACAGTTTTCCCACAGTAAAGAATTCCGTTCTTACCTCGTAAGACCAGACGCACTGCACCCCTGCAAACCTCCGGACACATCTTCCCACCTCCACGTCCTCATGGGTGGTGTACATTTCTCGGAGACACTTCCCAATGTGCGGTACCATTCTCCGGAGGACCTCCCGGCTCATGATGACCCCTGGGCCCCCCATGCAGAAGTTCTCACCAGGCTCAAGTGCCAGTTTTCCCATTTCTTCTGTGGTGCCCAGTCCTGTCTGCCCAAGAAAGAGGGGCTCACTGCTATTCAAACTCCTCAGAAAGTTCTCCAGACGATCTCCTTTGATGTAAACATCATCATCTGCTCTCATAAACCATTCATACTTGTCCAAGTAGTGGTCATGCATGTACTTGAGCATCATGAAAGACTTCTTCTGGGGTGGGTAGGAGTCGTCCACACCCTGTAGTGGCACTACTGGAATGGGTATAGATGTGTCTGAACCCTCACTAGAGAAGAATTCAACTTTCCCAGGAATTGTCTTGGACCATGTTCTAGAATAAAATAAATATCAGTTAGAGAACAGTTTATTTCAAGCTTCTTATTTTCAGAAATCCACCTATCTGTTCATTTGGAACCACTGTTTGTTCAAAAGGACAATAAAAAGTTATATGACCTGCTTGTTCCCTCTTAACATAAACTCAGGCTACTGGGTACCATAAAGTTCAACTTTAAACGAATCTCAATAAAGAATGATGAAGCACTAGAGTATTTCCAGTTTAATTAAGTTTTACTTATGGCTAAAAATCAAACTTCCAGGGCACCAAGTCTAGGTGTTCAGGTTAATCCTCTGATATTATCAACTCCCTACCTACAAACTCCTCAGCTCTACCAAAGAAACAACAAAAATTAAATCGTTCAATCAACAGATTTTCTTTGAACACTCATCAAGCGCCAGTTAGTGCACTAGGCAAGGTGGGTGCAGCGGTGGCAAAAACACAGTCCCTCGGATCATGGAGCTGACATCAGGAGAGACGGACATTTACACCAACAGTCACAGCAATGAACACAGTGTTATGAACTAAGATGAGCACTCTGCAAGAGAGAAGCCCACGGCAAAAGAGTACAACAAAGGAAGCTAACGAGACCAAGAGGAAAAGGGTGAAAGTCAGGGACACAAAGGTAGACCTGGGACGCAGAGAGCAGGGGACACAATCAGGAGGTGAGGCGGGGGGCCAACACTCCAGATCTGGGTCTTTATGCTATCTCTAAAAACCAAGAGGAGCCACTCCAGGGATGGCAGTAGAAGGCGAAATGGTAGGATGTGCGTTTTGATAGCTCTAGTGGTGGAGTAGACGCCCTCCTGGCACAGTGGTTAAGCGCTCAGCTGCTAACCAAAAGGTGGGCAGTCCAAACCCACCAGCCATTCCACGAGAGAAAGATGTGGTAGTCTGCTTCCATGAACATTTACAGCCTGGAAACCCCATGTGGCAGTTCTATTCTGTCCTATAGGGTAGCTATTAGTCAGAATCAACTTGATGGCAGCAGTTTTTTTTGTTTGTTTGTTTAGCGGTAATGTAAGAGGGTACTGGTGGTTCAGTGGAAGAAGTCTCATCCTCCATGTGGGAAACCCAGGTTCGAGTCCCAGCTGATGCACCTCATTGGGTAGTCACTATCTCTCAGTGGAGGCTTTTGTGCTGCTATAATGCTGAACAGGTTTAAGTGGAGGTTCCAGACTTAAGGTGAACTAGGAAGAAAGGGCTGGCAATCTACTTCCGAAAACCCTATGAATCACAACAGTCCAACCTGCAACCAACAATGGGGACGGCGCAGGACCAGGCAGCATTTTGTTCTATTGTGCATAGAGTTGCCATGAGTAGGGGGGCGACTCAACAGCAGCTAATAACAACAAGCCGTGGAGGAGAGGTTTTGAAGGACGGCCAACTAGATGCAGGAAGATCAGTTAATGAACTGCTGTAGCCAGAGAGTTGAAGAGGGAACTGTTTATCCCATTGACAAAGTCAGTGGTTAATTAGAAGGAAATGATGTACAGAATCCTTCTCCTGAACATGGAATTGAAGGCTACCAAGTCACATTTTTTTCTTGTATTTTATGCTCTGTATTAAGAGCTGAAGTAGTTCAGCTACAATGATTCATTTATACAGACTACTTCTAGGAAAACCATATCATAGAGAATAAGTGAAACAGTAAATTTAATCTTAATATGATCAAAAGAGAGCACCGTTCACAGATAACGTTCTTCCCTATTATACTCAACTGTCACAATTCTGTTTACTATAGTGAAAGGCAACTTGAAGGATCCATGAAAACCACAGGCATCTTTAATAGAGAGTTTCTGGAGAAAAACATCCAAGAAAATATAGCCCAAACCTCTGGGGAAGAAAACTAGGGAAACCAGGGGGAGCTGGGAGGCAGATAAAGGTGACCTTCACCTTTTATTCTATAATTCTCTATACTGGGGGGAAAAAACACTTATAAGCATGGTATTACTTGTATGATTTTAAAAACAATGAAGTACTTAGAAAACAAAATATTGGCTTTTATTTCTCTTCCTAACCCAAATATAAAGAATACAAAATAACTTCCAACATACAGCATTCAAGCAAAGGAAAAACTCAGTGGGATTACACATGCCTCTCAAAAGGTCCACGTCATCAAATCTAGGATGTCAACTGTAAGACGCACCATTGTTTAACACACCAACAAGAAAAAAACATGCTGTCAATCATATGATGCCATCAATTGTAAAATGCATCCTAATTTCAAAGATGTTAAAATGTGAAAGAAAAGGTACATCTTAGAATGGATGGGACATGGCAGTTGTTCATGTTTTCCCTTAATGACTGTGAATTTAAAGTGGGTCTAGTTATTCTTACGCCGCTGAAAGAGCCCATTAACAAAGAACCAAGGAAATAACCCAGCACAGATGAAGCCCTGTGATACTGCAGCTGCCGTACAGGTATGTTATGGATTCAACTGGGCCCCCCAAAATATGTGTTGAAATCCTAACCCCTGTACCTGTAAATAGGACCCTGTTTGGAAATATGGGTTTTCTTTTGCTACGTTAATGAGATCATACCAGAGTAGCGTGGATCCTAAACTTAATCCCTTCTGAGTTGTGTCGTAAAGGGGAGAAGAGACACACACAGCGGGGAGAGGAAGACAGATGACAGAGACACATGCACCTATGAGCCCGGGAACACCAAGGATTGGCAGCAGCTACTAGAGGTTGAAGTAGACAGGGAAGGACCTCCCCCTAGAGCCACGCCCTGAACTTGGATTTGTAATCTCCTGAACTATGAGAAAATAAATTTCTGTTCTTGAAAGCCACCCACTTGTGGTATTTCTATTACGGCAACACAAGGTCAGGAAGACACGGTACTGCATTCATTTTCACAAAGGGTATGCTCTTGAGAAACAGGATGTGCTATAAACTTAGAAGGGACAGGAGCAATAATTTAAAGAGAAACCAGCCCCTCCTATAAATGGACAAGTCCTTAAAAATGTGAACAGACCAGGGCATACACAGACTAGGTGACGATCTAAACGTACTCTCCTGACGCTGTGGCGTGCAGAGAGGAGACGACCTCCCAGCACTCCTCCAACACTGAGCCTCGCAGGTCCCTGATGAGGAGGAAACTGCTTAGACAGCCTCCACTCAAGTCAAGGAGCCCCTGATTCCTCTCTTCCTGCAGAAAATGTTTTTTTGTTTGACGTTCACAAGAATTCTTTGAAAATGTAAGTAATTTCATCGCTTGGCACATAATACTACCACCACCACTACCAGCTGCCATCAAGCTGAGTCTAACTTAAGGCAACCCCATGTGTGTCAGAGTTGAACTGTGCTCCATAATGTGGTTTTCAGTGGCTGACCTTTTGGAAGTAGACTGCCATGCCTTTTTTCTGAGGCACCTCTGGGTGGACTCGAACCTACAACCTTTTGGTTAGCTGTCCAGTGTGTTAACCATTTGCAACACACAGACATGTGCAAAGGTGTTAAATGAATACTGCCCACTTGTGACTTAAAGATGCTATGTGTATGCAAAAAGGCAGAAATCACTTGTATCTCTTATCTTATAGAAATTTCTAAATGGGCTTCTCATCACTTTCCATAAGCTATACTAATACGACTACCTACACATGTAGCAAGAAACTGACTTAATCAAACCAGAACAATAAAAAAATTATTAGAAGAGGTAAAACTCTAAGGGATGCTGGGGATGAAATATAGTGTCATTCATGGAACTTTGGAAATATACTTCAAAACTAAATAACCTGTATTATCTTACAATTCATTTTAAAAGGATAGCGAATAAAATCAAATTTAGCTTACATCAAATTGTTTTGTAACTAAACTATGATTAATAAAATAGACCAAGTTCAAAGTCGTACTAAAGTAGCCAACCCCAGATGCCACTGAAAACACGAGAATGCCAGGATATTACCTGAGGAATCGGGTAGGTAACACAATTCCTGCCATCAAAGGAACAATCTACTAAAGAAACAGTATTTTCTGTAGTGGTTAAGTGCACGGGCTCTGGAATCAGGCTGCGGGGGTTCAATCCTGACTTCATTTGGGCAAGCTGCCCAGTGCCTCAGTTTCCTTATCTGTAAACTAGGAATAAACATAGGATTGTTGTGAGGATTCAACAAGTGATAGTATGTTAAAGTGCCAAGGAGCCTGCCTGGAATGTACTAAGCACTATAGAAACAAACAAACAAAAAAAAACCACTATATAAACAAACAAAAAAAAAAACCCACAAACCCATTGCCGTAGAGTGGTTTCCAACTCATAGTGGCCCTATGTTAAGTGTGACTTACTAGGAACAAAAGGGGTATGCAAATAAAATAAGCTAGTGAAAGAAAAAGGGAGGGAGACAGGAAACATGGGCTAAACTTGGAAAAGCTGGTCTCAAGATTACACACTGGAGTGATGGTATTATGGAAAATGTAGCTTCTCACATTTCTGGCTAAAAACCCAACACTCAAGATAGATATATAAATATGTAGATATATTTAGATCTATATCTATATATATAGATGTATATACACAGGTATTCACATACATACACACATATACATTTTTTCCCCTATTTAATTAGCAATCTCAGGCAGTGTTAGGGTAGAAGTCTAACAAGACTTTAAAAATGTTTTCACTTCAACACCAGAATCCTTCACATTAGACTAAGGATCAAAATTCACTTCAGGCTGGCCCTACTCTCCATGGGCCCAAGCAGGCAGAACACAGGCAAGGAGAGCACCACCACTACAACCTCTGCTGATGCAATTAATGCCTCAACTATGACTTGAAGTGGTGTAACTTATCCAAGAAGAGAAACCAATTAATTTTAAAAACAGACAATCTAACCTCAAACTGTCCTTAAAAGCCTCTCCTCAGTTTCATGGTTAACTCCACCCAATTATTATCTGTTCTTTTTAGATAACCCAGGGAAAACCTCATACTATCCTTTTCTGTTCTAAATGACTGGTGGTTTGAGGGAAATCTCTCAATACGAAGTTTTTTTTCTTTTT